ACATCGCATGAAAAACGCAAAGAATCATTCAAGTTCATCATCTGAAAGGTCATTCTCGTGGCGTTTTTCTCCAAAATTTGAACTCTTCCATAGAGTTTATTTTTCTTCACAGAACATATATTTTTTCTGCAATAAATTTCTGATTCTTTTTCATCGCTTGGACTCTTCAGGTCGTTTATCTTGTATGATGTTCCTCTGTTAAATTCTACTGGAACCCTTTTTGCAGCGTCACACTCAAATGTTTCGGTTTTTTTGGGACAGGTAAATTTCTTTCCCTCCAGAGTAGTGCTGCCTGCTAAGATAAACACATTGAAAAATCGAGATGAGAAATTGTGATTTGCCGAAGCACCATGGCCAATGAGAGTGGAATCAACCCTTTTAACTCCCTTGAGTGACCAAGACAACTAGAATTACATCTTAAAATATCAAAACAATATCAAGAAGACAGTTGTTGAGAATAAATAGACCCAACGTTTGAATGGATTCTTCGTCACGCAATTCGCATATCTTGAGAAATTTTCCTTTTTTAAATTTTATTTCCAGCTCGTGTAATAATATTCTTCCTTCAACAATTTACGTCCTTTTTCGGTTTCAGCATTCTCATCTCCAGAGAGTTTATACCCTTTGGTGTATAACGCTAGTGGAAGCGCTCTCATCGTCTGATGAAATTTCTTCTTGATTTAAGTAACGCTAGAAATAGATATCCAAACACTGCGAAAAATTAGTTAACGACACTGAGGCCATTATACACAACAGACGCCATACGGTTAAGTGACAGATAAACATGACCTCTTTGTCATTGCCAACTTATAGGTTAAACTCTTAATTTAAGATATGCATCCATATAAACAAACAAGTCTTTGAAAGCTTTGATGACTGTAAAAATTTTTCGACTTATCAGCTCTTTCGTCGAAATTAACCTCAAGATATTCCTAACGCTTCATTCAAGATCTTCACTGATCGCGGGGTTCAGAAATTCACGGATAACGAATAACAAGTTTTTCTGCAACAGTCGAATAGAAGCAAACCTCGAATATTTACAAAATTAAGCAAGGTAACCCTGTCAACAGCCGTTTCAGCAAGGTGTAACCACAAATTACTCCGTCACAATGACTTAACAATAGAAAGGACGGTCACACTCTAACACAAGCGTATCAAAACAAATACCACTGAAAACGCTCAGCAGTGCGCCAAGAAGGAATAAACTCTGACATGCTCTTCAAATTATATTCGCCATATCTGTCATTGATCAATACGTGCTCTAACTTATAATTGTAACGTACGTGGATTTTATCCATGGTCTGTTTGCTACACTCATAATTTGATTTTAAGGGTTTTTCCCTTCGACCATGATTTGCTGTCGGAGAAAGTACGCAAAATTGCGTATTTCTGATGCTATGTAGAGGTGTTGTGTCATCAATACCGATGTCACCCGTTGTTCATTTTTGACAATATCTTTTGTTTGGTCTAGAAAGTGCTTTGCATACATTTATCGGAAGACAGCTTTAATGTGAATCGATTCACTCCGTGTTTGTTCTTAGCAATTATTGCTTATCGAACAACAGAGATATCAATGCTTTTTCTATCAAATTTCACTACCTGATATCTCGAAATTATTTCTTTGCACGCTCCCTCTAATTCTCATTATGCTCCAGAAAATTACATTCATTTATGAACTACAATGTAATTAATGTCTCACAGGTGAAAGAATAACAATAAAAGTGCTTAAGACAATTGTCAAATCAAAGATCCAATTATCATGTTTGCGCTGCAAATAAATAGACTCTGCCTTTCTACAGCTGCCTTAAGAGTTAGAGTATTTAATACATCACTATGAAGTATTATTTTGCTTAGTATGAGGCAATGTTTAGCTCGGGTTCAGTTGATTATTTCTTCCTCAAAAAATGTGCTGTTGCAGTACGATGTGTCGTTCCTGACTCGGTTAAGTGGACTGATTGCTCAGTAGATTTGCATTTTAAATCATCACGTCGTGTTTATCTCATTTCTCAGGGAAATCTGATCATTGCCTTGATAGAGTTTACTTTTTCGGGCCGTGCGCTCTTCAACGGGAAAAAATTAACTGTATTATAATGAAAGAACATGGACAATGATTGAATGAATGAAGTAAAGAAAAACGGCTTTATGTCAGTGTCAATTGAATATCATTGTGAAGAATTAGACAAGGTATTATAAGATATTATCTAAGCTGATACGCTATCGGAAACAGTGCCGTAAAGGAGTTAAGGGTCAATAAATCCCTCGGGGAGACGATGAAGATAGTCCATTGCCATTTTATTTGTTTAAACGGAAATTATACCAACCTGCTAAGACGAGAAAAGAGTAGAACAAGATCGTCGTTCCTCGTACACGTCTGTAATACTGTTTTATAGAGTTCAAGGAATCCATCAGGACTTTTGTTGCAGTATTTGCCAGCTTTACTGTCCGTTGACCCTCAGATCGATTTGTTTTAGCGGCCGGTATATACACCGCATATGCTGCTTCTATCAGTTGACTGAATCGTTTGGTGAAAAGCTATCCGGTTTAAATATCCTAAGAGTGAATAGTCACGTGGAACTGTCATACAGGATGACCCATGATTGGTCACTAGAATACTGAACGGAAACGAAGAAAATTTAAGCTTGAATGACGTTGCTTACTTTTTGACAGAGTCAGCATAATTTTCATCAGACGTGAAAGATATGATAGGAACAATGCAATGTCTGTGATCGTTTCTCAGAAAATTCATCCCCGAATAACTTTTCTACTAGAGGCTCGGGAATAAAGTCGCATGACAACCCCCTTCAATTGAATCGTAGCTCACAAAATTCATCTCTAGGTTATAAATGTGATCTTCATCCATATGCAAATTGTGTTATTTAAATAGAGATAGAAGAAACACATACTGCAGTTTTAATTATATTAATAAAATCATCACGCGTACGTACGCCTAAAAATAAGCTAATTGTTGGTGATATCAGAAAAAAATTGGAACTTCCGTCCCTGAAGTTACGTCACCGGGAGTTACGTCACCGATCAAGGAAATTCGGAAACCATAGAGCTGGTAAAGGAGGGGGGCACTGGGATTTTCGATTTTGCGGTTTTGGCCATGTTTTAGATCGGTTTTTCGGTTTTTGTGCCAAAAAACTCCGGTTTTTCGGTTTTGGAGTTCATTATGGTTTGCGGATTTTCCGTTTCTTATTAGCATTTGGTTTTCTGTTTTCGCGAAAAATACTAACGGGTTTTCGGTTTTTCCTATTTGACCTATTTGAGTTCCGGTTTCTCTTCGATCTGAGCGGCAATTACGCGCCTCCACAGATCTGGAATAGCCGCTAAACGAAAATGTTATCGTGAGGAATGTGTGACAAACCGATTAAAATATCGCAGAGATCCCTCAGGGTGAAAGCCTTACCCACCTCCTCCCCCAAGGTGGGGGGGAGGGTACGGCTGAGCACGGAAAATTGCCAGAGTTTCTTTATCAACGCCACCTCGAAGTTGATGACCAAGTTACAGGCCACATGTGACTGATTGATTCAACATTCCAATAGAATCTCCAAACTTTCGGGTCTTAGTTCGCAAATGGAAATGTTAGATTTGGGATTTTCGATGAAACTTTCCAGAGCTACAGCTTTTTGCGACTGCAAAATTGCAATCCTATAGAGGACTTTTGTGCGAATTCCCTTAAGTTAACTAGGCTCCATTACCAGCTGCTGAGTCCGCAGAGATCACGCTCGAGGTCCTAGAGAGAGCAGCTGTTAATTTAAGCAGATACTAGAAGATACCAATGCCAAGTCCATGGCATCCATTAATCCTGTAATGAAATTAGTGTAGTTTACTCTGTATGCTCCACTTGTCACCACTGTATCGGATCGATGGGATATGAAATGTATCGGTTTAGACAGTTTTGCATGCCATTTTCGGTTTTGATCGAATTTTTTTTCGGTTTTAGATTATCTTTTTCTACGGTTTTGCGGTTTCTAATAGGCCCCAATGCCCCCTCGTAAAGGGGGAGAGTTTCTGAAGAAACTGTGGTGCTACGTCGGTGGGAGAGTATCACAGGAAATTTAGTGTTAACAAGTGAATTGAAAACGCAAATTAGCCACCGTAAAGAGTTTAAAGGCTGACGTTTCGAGTGTTAGCCCTTCGTCAGAGCGGTTGGAGGAATTGTGGGTTGTGTGTGGGTCTATATATGCAGAAAGTGGAGCTTCGCTATTGGTGGGAATATGGTGACGAGAAAACAAGAATAAACTAGTTGGGAGATCAAAGTCCCTAATCATTCTAAACAGCATATGGCAGTTGGCGGCCTTTCCCTACATCTAGGCAGTTCGGAAAGCCGCAAATCACTTGAACAAAAATTTATCTTTCAAATCGGCACTCTTAATCCCGACGGTATCAACGAGGGCTTTTCATTCAACTAATTTATTCTTGTTTTCTCGTCACCATATTCCCGCCAATAGCGTAGCTCCTTTTACTGCATATAAACCCACACACAACCCACAGTTCCTCCACAGTGCCGGTAGTCCATTCCATCGTAAAATTATCTTACCTGGCGTGGTTAGGCGTGGTTGCTAAGTAAAACGGCGTGGTTTCAAAGCACATGAAAACACTTGAGCAAAAAAAACAGTGAACTTTATGATAAGTCATTAGGTAGTTAATTCCCGTTCATTCGGGGTAGGAATTATCCATTTCTTCGTCGTCTTCATGTCTTCGGTGCTAACTCATGAAAGTGAGTTTAATGAAAGCCGAAGATCATTCTCATCTGATGATTCTTCGTCTCTTTGCTCCGTTGATTTGGGACTAGGATTCGGCTTGAAACCGGGCGGTTTGCCACGATGCGAGAACGATTCAATTAGCAACGAATTAGAGGTACTTGACTTGTTTCAGGCTGATACAGAAGATACGACACAGTCCGAAGAAACTCTAGAAAAATACCAGCATCGATCCAAGCCGTTTACATGGAGAACCAGTTTACAGGAGAGTGTAGAGCAGTTAAAAGAAATTAAGGGTGGGTTAAGCCGGATCTCTAAATGGAGTTTGAAAAACTTGCCGAAGAGAAGTTTTTCTCTCAAGCTAAGGAACAGAACAAACAGCGAAAGTGCACCTAATGACGTTGATAAAGGTTGTAAAGGAAAGGCTTGTGGACTAAGGCGGATAAATTCGGCAAGAGGTTTGTTGTTTTGAATTATGATGTTTACAATAATACGTATTCTTAAATTGATATTTTTGTTGAAGAGAAATCTATAATTACATTGGCGCTCATTTGCGTATAGAACGTTGTCCCGTAAAGTTAAATCGCCCTCTGAAATTAAAATTTTTATTAAGCTGGATTTCAGAATATTGTCAGTTTCAAAATGTAGGGTTCACTTTGAAAGAATGTTTTTTTCACACGTGTACCGGTCATTGTTTACAGTACATTTTGTTTTGGGTGTGTGATTGTTTCTGTTGGTGTTTCAAAGAGTGAACAATTGTGGAAGGTAATCGATGTGGTCGATCAATCTTACGTGTGTATGATACCATTCAAATGGTAAAATCTTCAGAGCAAAAACTTTCTAAAAATGAATCAGTGCGTAATTGTATTTGTAACAGGTAAATGTTCCGGCTGGTTAGTTGAGGGTAACAGATTCCGTTTTAACTCTTTAACTCTCAAGAGCGACCAAGACAGAATTTCTCCTCGCAGTGTCAATACAATATCAAGCAGAAAAGTGATGAGAATAAGGAAAATGTTAATTAGGGGATTCAGACATTCCAACCCTCCCAATTTGATGCGTTGCCTCTCGCTCTCCTTATTTTTATCAGGTTTCCCCGATTTATCATAAAATCCTGGAGACAAAGAAAAAATTGCTTATATTATATGTATTTTTTGAGATCTTTTTGTGGCTTCCCACTGAATGCGTTTATGCCTTGTGGAAAGTAAGTTTACAATTATTCATGATCTTTCACAGAGGCCATTGTAAAAAAATTTCCCTTTTTGATTCTGAAAAGATGGATTAACAACAGCAAAGAAAAGTTCAAAGATATCTGTGATAAGAATAAAGACCATATAGAATACCACAAAAATGATGTCAAAATGCAGGAAATGCCACTGGAGAGAAACTAAATTTGAAAGAGTTCCTGGGGAGGTAATTGCCCCCAGACCCCTCTAGAGGCTCACACCTTTGGTGCTAAAATATACTCCCTATTTTCCCTCAAAAGGGGTTGGAATGTCTGGGGATTGTAAAAAATTAGTGACCCAATATCAAAATTCTCCAACCCCCTTATGAAATTATATGAATTGTATGACAGACAGTAGGGAGAATTACTAATGAGATCTTGGGAATGAAAGGGTCTGGGGACAGTTTGCTGGTCAGGGTCACTGCAGTTTTCTCATCAAGGTGGTAGTCTTAAATTAATATCTTAAAGAGTCATCCAGACAGCTCTCATCTGTAGTATCATGAGTTTTTGTACAGGTAACAACTTGATTTCGAGTGCAATTTGGTGTTAATAAACATGAGTAAATTTTACAAAGACAGCAGAATTGCACAAGCCTGTAGGGTGAGTGGAATTTGTAGTCTTTGAAAATTTTTACAAGTGCTAATCTACACTAAATTACTCAAGAAATCATGTGGCTACTTGTTAATAATTTACTGGTGCGAAAGGTGAATGACATGTCTGCAGCTGATTCAAAAATGCCTTTAAGTCTGCAGCCACCTGTTTAGTTAGGAAACATACTACAAGATGTATATGTTGTGGTTCAATTTTATCCTTGGATCAAATTTTATTTTCCTTTGTTTCAAACTCATTATTATACATTACAATACCCAAAAGCAAAAGAAAATAAAATTTGAACCTAGGAAAGTTGAACCACAACTTATAAAATAATTCAAATAGTACGCGCACTCTGATTGGCCATAAAACCATTTTACATGAGCGTATGTAAACATGGTTTTCATCCCTCTTTCATTAGTTATTTTATAAGAGAAATGTAAAATGGTTTCCGTGTTTACATAGCCTGATGTAAACACTCGGGAAGTTGGGAGAACACTTGATAAGCTGGAAACCACTCCGCTTCGTGTTGTGGTTTCCAGCTTATCGAGTGTTCTCCCAACCTCCTGCGTGTTTACATCAGGCTATGTAAACATGGAAACCATTTTACATTTCTTCAATATACTTCTTCCATTGTTAACTACCCAGTAGATGTACACATATTTTTACTATTAATTTGATTTCTGACATAATTTTTTTGTATGGTTTGAAACAGAAAGGAGATCAGTTGCCGAAGATGATGAGTATCGTGCCCTTCAGTGCAAACTTGTGAAAGCCAAACAAGTGAGTGGGTATTGGATAATTTAAGATAAACAATAGCCTCAATTTGGAGCAAAAATATGCTCAGATATCTGTCCGTGGGTATGATCTGTCCTATGAAGTGAACAGTTTTGTGTGAGCGAATCTTATGCAGCAAAATCTCTGGGCTTCAAGGAAGAGATAATGTCTAAGGACATATACATGTATGCTGGCAAATGTTTTTAGCCAAATGGTGACTATTATGTTTATTATCCATCAAATACAATAAGGGAATAAGAGTTTGCAAACAGCGTACCATCAGAAACTTTCAGTTTGTGGGATTTTGACTTTGACAGTGCCCTGCCCTGTCAAACTTTTATAAACAATTGGGTTTGACTTTTCTTTTGTAACAATAACCAATTGCACTGCTAAATCCATCTTTAATTGAGATAATTTTAAATGGACCCTTTCATCATCTCAAACGAAAGGTTTGGGAATTAGATAATATCAGCAGTTATACCTCAGTTAGCTGGGACATATTCTGCCACATGGTGCATTTAGACCATTGGTGCTTTAAACCTTTACATCCTAAAATTAGTAAGCATATTCTCCATACTGTTCCCTATACATTTTTAAGGTACTGACAAGGAGAATTTGTTAAACAATCAGGACCTGCTTTAGTTGGTGATGATTTCCTTTTATTCTTGTGACCTTGATACTTGATTCAGGGATGATATTGTGAGGAGAAATTAGATCCTAGTCACTTCAGGGGATTGAAGGGCTGACCAAAATATTTTAGGGATCAAACATATGGCATTGCCCACATCCAACATATCTTCATCCATTACCTTACTTCAATTGTAGTGAAAAAACTTGTTGCTTTGAATTTCCAGGAAATTGAAAATTTGACTTTGGATTTAGAAGTATGTCAGCAGCAGCTACAAAGCAAATACGGGGCTGTTAAAATTATCCAAAGTCTGTCACGTCTGGAACAAGCACATCAAAAACAGTGTTCAAGGAAGGCATTGGAAGCAAGTAAGAAACTTGAGCAGGTAAATTTGCAGAAATAGGGTGATTAATTAAATTTTTGGGTGAGATTTCAATAGTAATCTTGTGTAACTTTGTCAATCATTGCATAATGTTAATTGCATGTCTTGATTAGAATTGGTGGTTCTTCAGTGTGTAACTTTCTTGTAAGTCAACTGGATTTGAGTATTTGACTGAAGATTTAGAGGCTTAAGGAAATCTGTTAACACTCAACTTCCAAAATCTAATTGTTAATTCTACACTCCAGCTGCTATATATTTCCTTGTAAAATAGTTCCGGAAATTTGGTGTAAGATCAAGGTGACAATTTCTCATTACCTGTTTGCTGGGTAATGTATAGATATTACAGGCAGGGAGAAGTTACATGTCAATCACATCTGAGAGTTAAAAGATTAAGGGAACAGAAAATTTTATATTGCTTTTACTGGTGGCACTATGTTATGGGGGCCAGAAATTTGAAGCTATTTAATATGTAACATTATGTGCATCCTGCAGCCAGAAAGAAATTAGTGTTAAGTTATGAATTATTGAGACTTGGTATGGCAATGAAAGCTCTGAAAGACTATTTTTCCAACTTCAAGAGAATTTTTCAAGGGGGAGAGAATTTCGTGATCAAAATAATTGTGTATTACTATCATCTGAGTTTTGACAAATAATTGATAAAAGGATACTCTGACTAGTAATGGAAAAAATATGAAGGTTTTATTCCAGGTCTTTTATTCTAAGGCACAGGTCATATTCTCCCCAACTTTCAGAAGAAATAACAGAATAATTTGATGCATATACATCAGTTTATCAGAAATCATTTGTCCATACTATTCACCAGTGTCTAAGTCAATGCACAGAAGGCATAATCATTTAAGGTTGCTTGGTGTATCATTTCTCTATTTTTTTCCAACATATTTATTGTTTGAAAATGTCTAGGAGGTGAATTTTCTTCAGTGGGAACTTGAGCTGAAACAGAGCTACTTGCTTGATAATGAACAAACATGGGCTGAGAGGTTTGATAGGGTTGCTACAGAAAATGCTGCTCTGATGGTTGCCCTTCAGACAAGGTCAGAGGAATTGAGGAAGGTTGCCATTGAGAAAATGAGTAAGTGGAGGAAAATGTCATTTGCAATGATGGTGCCTTGAGTGTTGATGTTAAAGGCAAATTCTTCTGGCCATGAGGTTCCTTGAAATAGGCAATGAATTTAAATTTTATGGTTGACAGTAATTTCTCCAGAGCATTATGTTGTAGCCTGCCAATTTGCCCTCATTATTAACATTTTGGTACAAACCAGCATATCTAGACCTGCTGGAAAGTCTGAGACCTTGAACAATGAGAGGTGGCCAGAGGTCTGCACTAACAATTTACGTCAGACCCCTGGCAAACTTTGCCTGAAATCTTTCTGTGGGTGGAGACATGCACATCCTGCAACATTATTTATGAGGGCCTGTTTTCAGGCTACCTAGTATGTAATTAAGCTGGGGAGCTGCTGTTAATAACTGGAAGTTAAAATATTGCATTTCTTTATTAAGTAATTGTCATTAGACTACTTCAACAGTATTAGAAAACATGACTTATTGTAACATAGTGATTACACTTTGAGTTAACCTCTATGAATGGAAAAAAAAAATTTCTGTTCTAGCATTGTGCACAATGGGTATTTTATTGGTTGGTCACCAAATCCTAGTGTTGCCGGTAGCATTTAGAACTGGCCTTTAGTTTGCTTATAGGATATGGTATGGGGATTGATGTCAGGGAGTTCAATAGACTGACTAGAATATTTTGAATGTGAACATTTTTTTATGGGATGAGTGAGAAGAAAAACCTCTATTTCTAGTTTTTGGTTTTTAATAGATGTTTTTTTTTTCTCAGCACTTATGCGGGATCGTGATGAGCTAGCAGCGGCCTTGGAAGTCAGAGACAGGATCAAATATGACTTGAGTACTCCCGAGAGGGAAGAAATCTTGTCCACTGGAGATCTGATTGTTGAGGTAATGTTTTGTAAGACAGATTTTGAGGATAATAATGGATCATTTCCAAACCAATCGCTTTTTTTTTAACAATTGGCCATCCTAGAATCACAGTGTTTCCTCATGGTGCTCATTTGTACGGTCAAACTTTATTTAAAAAACGAAACAAAATTTACTCTCAGCTACACGAATTGATAAAACTTACCTTGCGTGCACACACGATAATTATTCTTAACGACTCCTCAACATATTGCACGATAATGGTTTGTTAGTAGGAAATTCTTTGTGTGTATTAATTGGTGCTGTTATCTTAACACACAGAATCATTGGTTTTTTAGTACAGTCAATGTGTATTGTTATTATATTCTGCACAGTGTATCCGAGAGTACACCAATGTCACTTCAATTTGAAGCTATTTTCTCATGGATTTTACTTTATCAGTAAGGGCCATGTGACCTAAGAAGGCTAGTAACACAGCATCTTCCAAGTGTTGATTTTCTCTTTTTTTTTTTGTTTGTTTTCTTTTCAGCTTGCAACTCTGGGTGCATGTCAGTGTAGAGGAAAAAAGCAAGAGCCGTGTGCATGTGCCAGGGCTGCAGTGGACGCCAAAAGGGACATAGCGAAACTCAAACATGAGGTGATCAAGTTCTGAGTAATTTGTACTTCCTCTACTGGTGTGACTAAGTATGCACTTCCCAAGAGACGAGCATTTTTTCATGCTAGAGGTACATCAGTATCAAACGAAAAGATGTAAATTGTAACGTAAAGTTCAATACGTTGTAACATTACTGAAAAAACAGAACTGTAATAGTGGTAATTTTCTTTTTGTTTTATCTTCCCTAGCTTGAACTTGTGCAGCGAAGGGAGGAAGAAGCTCTTCTCGCTGCTGATGCGTATCGTGTTGCATTTGAACAACAACTTGCCAAGAATTCTTCACTTATCTATGAATTAATGAAGAGATCTAGTTGGAGAAAGAAGACTGGCCTCGGCGGGAAAACAAGGACATTGACGAAACAGGAAGAAGGGGTCAAATATGACCAGGAGGAGATTATCTGTCAGGTCAACACGTACAAAGATGAAATTGTAGAAACGCTTTTGAGCATGGTATGTATGTTAAAAGCCTTGTTTACACCAGATGGGAGTTCATTTTGTCAGGGAACAGTTGTTGGTTTTTTTCCCAGTAAATAAAACTTGATAAAGAAAAATCTGCAAAAGTGCAGGCTAACTTGCTGAATTATGCTTCAGAAATTATATTTTTTAAATAAAAAGTAGATGTGAAATCATGACTTAAACCGTATTTTGAGATTCCAGAAAGTAAATTAACCTTTCAAAAAATTGTGTGCGAGTGTGAAGTTCTTGTAAATAACGCCTCACTGTTAAATTTTAAAATTGCATAATTCTTCTTTGCTGTATAGTACAAGCAAGGTATTTAGTTGAGTGTACGTAATAAAAGGACCCGTGTTCCATTCTTGTTTTGATTGACAGCTCCATGACAACAGTGAAGCGCTTGCGCACCAAAGACTTGCCACAAAAATGTTGGCGGCAAAAATGAAAGAAATGGAGAAATGCAGTAACTGTGGATCGTTACCAACGGCAAGATAGATGCGTCGATCAATTCGATGTTTTCATATCTCTCCCGGGCAACCACCCCG